GGGGGAAGGGGATCTGTACACCCTTTTTCCACCGAATCACCGACCGAAGTGGTAGTTAAAAAAAAAAAAAAAAAAAGAAAAAGTGGTAGTTCAATAAGCCGGGCGTGCTCAAACTACAAACTACGGTAGCTCTGTCTGACCGCATTCACAGCCGAGCCTGGTCTGGATGCACATGACCGCACTTACGTCCATAAACAAGTAGAAAAGACCTATAGGGCCTCGCTGCACTACTCTCGACATGCACAACAGACAAAACTCATGGCGGTGTATCTTTCCATATTCTAGCGAAAGATTCTTTCCATATTCTAGCGGAAGATTCACTCTCGTTTTGCACATTTCGAGAGTAGTGCAGCGAGGCCCAACCCTAAGCTTACAAATCGCGGCGAGGTCCCAGTTCCCTGCACTGCATTCTGCTGATATCCTGCCGTCGATTACTAGATGATCGACGGAGGAGAAATGCACAAGCCATGCAGGTGGGACCTGGGCCTGGGAGAACACATACAAACATACTGATAAACAGGCCGACAGCCGACTCTTGGTGTGATGAGCGGAAAAACCCACACCCACACCCACATAGACATACACGCACACATATGCATCCCGCGCAGCGGACCCCACACAGAGCCTCAGCCGGCTTTGCTTAGTGTAAAACCACCATCACCAGACCTTCACTATCGGCACTCCCCCCGAAACCACGTGCGACCGAGGGCCCAGGTTGTGTTCCCCTTTGTTTTTGGAAGTCCCGTCTGTCGGTGCAACCTTCTCTCCCTCTCTCGCTCCTCTCCCTCTCCTTCTCTCTCTCTTTGTCGCTTCTCCATCTCTCTCTCTCTCTCTCTCTCTCGACTCTCTCTCTCTTTGTCTCCCCCCCCTTCCTCTCTCTCTCTCTCTCTCTCTCTCTCCTCCTGTCTCGCTCTTTCCCACATCAGCCAGCATCGACGGGGACCATGACGCCGACTTGTTGGGGTGCGAGCTATAGATGAACAGGAGAGGGGGGAGGGGAGGACGGGGAATGGGAGAGGAAGCGCGGGAAGGGGCATTTGTTGGATTGCGCTGTTTGGTGATGTGGAATGTTATGGAAGGTTGTAGGTGTAATGTTGTGGAAGGGTGGAGGGTGTGGTGATGGGGCATGAGTGGCTGGGATGAGTGAAGAAGGAAAGGACAGATACTCATAAACGACGGAGGCGGCGTTGTTGTTGTTATAGGTATTATATATCGGGTAAGAAACGGGGACTCAAGTGGGTTAAGAACCTTCCCTCCTCCTTTCTGCCTGTGGCCCTCTCTCGCTCCTCAAGTTGTTCGGTTCAGCGAAGCTTTGCAGTCGTTCGGTGATGAAGCCGTGGAGTACTCGAAGGACCGGTCGCTGAACTTTCAGTGAGTTTGCCGCCTCTCGAGGATGATACTGGTGTGCGCGTTTATGAGAGCGGAAGGGAGCGCGGTGGATTGGGGCGAGCGATAGTGATCGGCGCGCACTGGATTCGCGCGAGCGGCGGTGATCGGCGCTCAGTGGATTGACGCGGTGGTTGCTCTTCGTCTGCTGCGCGGAGTGGAGTTGCATTTGAATCTGGCGGCTTTGTACGAGTTGAGGGAGGAGGGAGAGGAGGAAGAGGGGAAGGGGTGGAAAGGGAGGTGGAGGGGATTGGGAGGAGGGAGGGGGGTGGGGGGAGGATTGGGATATTGGTGGCTTGAGAGAGTTGAGAGAGGAAGGAGAGGAGAAACGGTGGAAAAAAGGGCGGAAAGTGGATTGGGAGGGGAAAGGAGGGGAGAGAGGAGAAGGTAGGAGAGGAGAGGAGTGGTGTAATCATCGGTTGTGATTCTATTCGACAAATATAAAGAGGGGAGGACTGGAGGGAGAAGGAAGTGTGTGTGTGCGTGTGTGTGTGTGTGTGAGAGAGAGAGAGAGAGAGAGAGAGAGAGAGAGAGAGAGAGAGAGAGAGA